AGTTTTACATTAGTTCTGAGTAATGCTGTAAATTGTCTTGCATTTCAGCACTCTGCCATCATAGTCCGAGATAACCCAAGCCGAGAAGCTAATGCGATGTGAGCGTTCTCTCCTAATTTAACTGCACATGGACCAGAGTCCTTACAATTACCACTACCTGTCTCGCTTACTGCAAACCAAATACCTCCCCTCTCCCTGATTCTTGAGCACAGACTAAAGTGCAGAAAGCCTTGCACAAATGCACACAATCGCAAAAAAGAGTAGGTACCTGAGCCAAGTGTCATTTGTTTTCATTTAACGGTGGGTGAAGTGGCCCGGTAGGAGATTTTTAGATTTTTACGAGGGAGCTCAGAATGGCTGGCTCCTTCTCATTCCCATCTCAGCTCCAGGGGGACCTTTCCCGAGCATCCTAGCACGGCACTACCCATGCCTGCCTGCCTCTCCGTCCTCTGTCCATGGTTGCATGTCATTGTCATTATTCGAGATTAACACCTTATTTTCTTACTATATTATCTGTTCCCATCCTCCCAGTAGAATGCAAACTTTGAAAACTCAGTAGTTATTTATTTCATGAATTAATAAATGAATGCATGCATCAATTTGCTCCTGCGTTTTTCTCCCGGCTCCTGGATTTTCACCTAGAATTCTCTCTAGGAGCTTAGGAAAATATCTGGATATTTCCCAATTTTATCAGAGAGGGAGCAATTAGTTTCCACTGCTACTTACCAGCATATGCCTTTGCCATCGCCTCCTGCCCGGAGTTATTTTGTTTATAAAGTTAGCAGCTAACCCAAGTGTCATGTATGGACGTATAATCTGGAAGAACACTTGCTTGCTAGTTTAAGTGGAGTTTGTTTGTTTGTTTTTCCCCTGCTAGGAGATATTCTGTAGAGAAACACAACTGTGTTACACGCTTTGCAAGATGATGAGAGAAGAGAGACCTACAAGTGCACCGGCCCCTATTTCTGTTAAAGAGGTGGAAAGTAGAAGCCGGAGACTGCCCTCAGGAGAGCTTGATCTATCAGGTGGAAGTTCAAATTGTTTCAAGATGAAAATATTCATTTTTCACCACGGTGGATTATTATTCTCTCTGTCATGATGAGGTCTGTAAATCTGTGAAGGGTAATTATATACAGGATAATCACCAGCTGTTGTCTATTTGGAAGGAGGTTACAATAGGAAAAAAACAAATGTCCTCAAATAAATGGTGGGCTTCTTGAGGGTAGGGGCCGCATTTTAAATGTTTTGAGTCCCCTTTGGGGGGCTAGGACAGCTCAGGGTGACATAACGTAATGTTAAATATGCATTCAATTGCTAACAGAGAAGTACGAAGGACTGAGCTGAATTTCAATGTAAGGGAAACTTTGCTGATCGGGGAGTTAACTAAAGGTGGATATTGGCTTTTCTCTAAAATTGCTTTCCAAGGAAAGCAAGGTAACTCATTAAACCTGATAAATGATATTGTTTCTAAATAGAATTAAATGACTTTTTTTAGTCCCTCCAAAAGGTGAGCTTCTTTTATATTATCATATCTAACAAGCACAAGTTTTAGCAGAGTTCATTTTTAATAGCAGACAATTTTCCTTCCACTCACTGCAATTCAAAAAGTCACTGGATTCTAGCATCATAAATGGCGTTAATATGAGATGCTCTAAATCCTGGTTTTGCAGATGTAAGCCTTGCTCTGGGGAGTCGGAGCTGGGAGGTCACCCAACCTTCCCATTGTTAGTGGCAGAACTTTACATTCTCTTCCTCGGCCACGGGAACCGGGGTTTGAGCGTCGCAGTGGAGTTTGCCTCAGAAGGCTGTGTTTTAGTAGCCAAATGTGGAAGACAAGATACACAATTCTCTCTAAATTAATATCTGCCCCAAGGCAAGATTTTTAAAGATGAAAAGGGGCATGGTCTCCTAAAGACGGGGAATTTTTTCAGTCTCTTAAGAAACCTGAAAATATCACAAATGTGTGATTGCCACATGTTAAGATGCTTATTTTCTAAGGACCCCTTTGACCAACTAATTTCATTCAAAGATTTATTTGCAAATACAAGGTATTCTATTTGAAGCGTGGCTTGTTCTAACCGAGCTTTGTTGAGATACTTTCGATTGAGTCACAGAAAGAAATATACTGTACTGTGCATCTCGGTGCACGTCTATACCGACACCACAGAAACACAAGTTCCAAGAAACCGGGCTCACCACTGTCACAAAAAAAAATGAACTTTGCTATTTTCTATTCTACTCCACTTCACTTTTTTTTTTTTGTAAGCGTAACCCGTATCCACCGAATTGATCGCAGAACCCACGCTGGGTCTTCTGCGTTTCCCAACACGCTGCCGATTCCTCTTCCTACCCAGACCATCCCCGAGGTCACTGCCCACGCCCCCGGGAGCAACCTGCAAGGCCGTTTCTACACAGACAATATTTTGACCATGTTCACACAGCAAGAGTTAAATGTCTGCAAACGCCAAGTGCTTCTAACAGGTGCAAACCTCTTTCGTGTGCAATAAACCTCGACTGCGGACAAAGTTCATCGAGAGACCAGAGAGCCGGTCCTCCATCCCAGGGCCAGGGTGTCACCTTCCCCGAAACCTTTTGCCTCCCGAGATTTCCCTCCGATGTCTCTCACACAATTAGCACTTTCATCAGCCGGGGTCTCTCCTGCTTATACACACACATTTAAGGTTTATCATACCCCCATGCCTGTGTGCTCCCTGATTTTGAAACTTTGTCTACGTTAAGGTCAAGGGCTGAGTCCTCACACACCTTTAGTGGCTTTATGGAACCAAGTCCACCCTGCTCTCAGGTAACTGCTGGTCGGTCGGGGATGCAGGGTGCCCTAGGATTAACCTCCAACCAAAAAATCCCCCCCGGTGCTAGTTCCACCACAAGGTGCAGAACACAGCAGCAACCTGCACCCGGCAAAAATCTCCCGGCTCGATGTTATGTCCATGATTTGGGGCTACAACCGGGAAATTCTCACTGTTTGACCCCCAGCAATTGACCCTAGGGAGGTACTCAAAGGACTTTAATAATTCTCTGCTTGTTTAGCCCCCAAAGGGGTAATTAATGTTCTGAAAGAGAATTCTTAAAAGAGAGCACGGTCAGGTGTCGGCTGGTCAGCAGCAGCTGAGAAGCCGGGAGCTATCGAACCCGGGACAGATGGCAAAGTCGAGTGAATATGCATATCTAAATCTTAGATGCTCCTAGAGGTTTCTCCTATAGATTTTGTGTGTGTGTGCCTTTGCACGACCCCTTTCCTCCTTGCTCAGATTCCTTTCCTAGTCCCATTTTTTGCTGCTAATAACTACATTCCCGGGAATAACGGGACTGGAGCATATTCCCCTGCAGTGGGGTAAGGCTGTGGGGGTTGAATGCAGGGTGAGCCAATGCAGCCCTCTAAGTCACCAGACTGCAGGTGGCAGGAAAGGGGCAAGGGCTATCGAGGGGAGACAGAGCCTGAAAAACAAAACCCCTGCCTTTGCCCCTTGTCTGTCCTCTATTGGGTCCCCTGAAAGCCCCCAGTCACACAAATTAGGGGGTCCCTGAGGTCCCCCTGGGGTGGGGAGTGGGGAACTCCCCTTTGGGCAGACAATCATGCACCTTTTGCATCTACCGGTAATTTCTCTCTCCAGGGAAGCAGCAGAGACCGGATGGGTGCAAGTTGCAGTTTCATTCACCGGGCACCTGTCTCCTGAGTGCCTAGGAGACCCTCAGCCTGCCCGGGGAAGTGTGCTGTGCTGCCGGCTGCCTTTCTTCTCCTCCTATTATATTGTTATTATTAGTTCTCTTAACCCGCACGCCATCAATCAAACAGCAGTTTTGATGATCTGGAGGGTGGATAGCCACCTGGCAGTCCCGGGACGCGCGGGATGGAGGCTGCAATCTTAGCCCAACAGCCCTGGTACAGAGTTAGGGGAAAAGTGCCCACGGCTGCCTTGCTCTACCCAGCGGTGGGCTTCAGGATGCTAAGGGCTGCGGGTCCTTGGAACCAACGTGCCCCCCTCCCAAGGTGCCGCTAGCCCGGGCTGCACCTGGTCCGGATGCGGATCGTCCCGGGATGCACCAGGCATCCAAGGAATTTAGGAGGAAACAGGGAGATGTCTCGGTCCCCAACACAATTCTGGCACCCCGGAGCCCCATCTTCCCAGCCGTCCGCACTGCAATCGCCCACCCTAAGCTCCTGTGCCCACCGCCAGACCCCCTACATGGACGGCGCGCCGTTCCCCCAAATCCAGCCTGCGCCCCCAGCTCGGGACAGCTTGCTTAACTCCGGACACTCGCCCAGGGCTTGCTGGACCACCGTGGCCGCTCTTCTTACCTCCAGCCTCCGGGATCCCTTTCTTGCCTCCTCTCAGCACCCAGCTCCTAGCCGAGCGCTTTCCCACCCATGCCCATCCCACTTTCTCTACCTTGCCCGCTCTTCGGAGGCTCCCAGGTGGTGCCGTCCCCGGAGTAGTGACTGAAGGCGCCAAGGTGGCACGGTCTCCCGGGCTGGGCTCTTTGGGAAACTCCCCTCCCTCTGGAATTGGCGTCCTCCGGAGAGGGGACAGGGCTCCCACAAAGCTGTTTCCGGGGACGGCACGAATCTCCCAGACCCCCGCCCACCCTTCGCGCTCTTACCAAGCTCTAACTCGGGTCCCTCTCCTGCTTCCTGTGTTCTCGCCGCCTTTTGGTCTCCCGGACTGGTGGGGTGAGTCCCAGCCCGGACTGGAGCGAGACAGCAGTGGGTGCAGCCCCACTCGCGGGTCGGGGGGGGAGAGGGGCCGGCGCGGAGGCGCACAGAGCTCTCCTACTCGCCCCT